CGCTCCTCAATGGAGCGTACCGTGTGCGAGGTCGCGACTTGTGAGATGGGTGAGAACTTCATATAGTTGCCATTGGGTACTTGGCGTTCGCAGTGCGAACGTACCAGTAGCAGGTTGATATCATAAGCGTGCAATGAGGATTGACTAGCAGGGCCTTCGGTGACTTGGCGTTCCCAAAGGGAACGTACCGTTGGCGGGGAGACATGATGACTGGCGAAGGAGGGAACAGACGGTGGATGGGTGGCGACTTGGCGTTCATGTAGCGAACGTGCCAGCATCACGGGAAGGTGGGCCTCAAAGTATTCACGATCTCCATGATCGTGAGGTGACGTCGTATGTTGAGTACTGGGGGGAGAGTGGGGTGATGAAGACCCATAGGGTACAGATTCAATAGGACGATACACATGTCGAGAGTCTTCGACTCTCGACCTCGAGTTCTCGCGGCGAGGGCCGTTAGAGGACTCGATATAACCAGACTTATAAGACATATTGAGAGTTGTACAGTCACATGGGTTCAGTTGAGTCACAGGGAGGGTTGTTACAGAAGACGGTACACGAGACAGTTGTAGAGCAGTTGTTAGTTAGCGGGAACCGCCTTCGGCGGTTTCCGTACAAGACGCGTGACTATCTACAAATGGTAAGGTCGCGGGAAATCCCGCGAAACACAAACAACCTCGGCCAGCACCAAAACCCCAATGGGGAAAGCTTTGCACGAGGGGGGGAAAGGGGTAGAACGGGTAAGGAGGATAGGGTATCGGGATAGAGGACGGAAGGGAGAAAGAGGGGAGGAGCGATAGAGAGGGGAAGTCTTTGACCATGTGACGGATATGGTCGTTGGAGACTCCGTATCCGTAACATTCGGGGTCGGGGTGGGGGGGGAGTCTGTCAGTGGATTCCTCAACCATGTTGAGGTCACCTAGCATGATGTCTATCAGAGTATTGGCCAGCTTTTGGTCTAGCTCTAACCAGAAATTGGCATTGTTGTTATTTGTGTTTATGTTGGGGGCGTAGATAGATAGAATTCTCATGGTTTCGCTTTCTGGCCATTCTATTTCAGTAAGGAGGGCTCGGCCGGGTATGACACATCTCGATGTGAGGGGGTCTTTCTTAACTATGTTTTTGTTTATTATAGTTGCAACACCGCCGGAGTGGGTGTGGTCCACATTGTATGAGTGTGTGATGTTCCATTCCAAGCCAAAGGTATTGTCTAAGTAAGATTGTTGAAGTTGATCCATGTGGGTTTCGGAGAGGCATAAGATGCCATATTTTTCTTGTTTCATTTTCTGTAAGATGGTTGGCCACTTGTTCCTTGTTGCAGGGCTATTTGCCCCTTTTATGTTGAGGGCACCTATTTTTAAGTTGGTAGGTGGGTTCTTTGGTGGTCCGTTGCCGCCCCTTAGGCGGAGGGGTTTTTTGGGTGACTCCATTTTTCGATCTGCTGCCCCCTTCATGGGGTGTTCATAAATTGATCATCCTTGGGGGACAGAGGCCTTTTACCAGATGAGCGTGCATAAGGAGATTGGGGATCCTTCTTGGGTTTTCTTTTGATTAAACTTAGTTGTTCACTGGCGATTGTGTTAGTTCCCATTGGTTGCTGGCCATTTGGGAATTTGTTGTGGGGAGAGGGGGGGGCTGGCACGCTTTCCTGTCACCTTTCGGTTCAGTAGATTTGGGCATGCTAGTGGGGTTCCGTGTTTTTCTCGGGTTTTCAGCATGATCATTTTATTATAGGGAAGGAGAGGTACATTGGGCAGGGGACTGGGTTGCCATTGTAGTGTAATGTGACATTACCATATTATTTATTCACGGTATCTTCCACGTCCATTGTTGCAGCCAGGGTACCTTCCGTGGCCACATCTCACAGGGTAGTGTATGGGTCGGTCCGGGGTTAGGGTACTTGGACCTGGATTGAGCTCGTGCCAGATGTGGTGGTCATGAATTGGGCACACTGAGAAAGTATGGTCGATCCCTTTGCATGTGTGGCAGTAAATATGGTCGCCACTGGTGGACCCGCTGTTGCTCATGGGGGTGGAGAATGAAGTTTGTTTGAACAGTTGAATCCATAGGTCATGGATACTGTTCATGTCCCTGGGGGTGGGGTCTTGGACTTCGAAGAAAGGGGGAGGGAGGTGGATTTCCCACAGAGTGACATTCGCATCGGAGGTTGGGTTTCTACGCTCAGATGGGTTGAGACCCCCATGGTTGGAGTTAGAGTAGCCTCGTGGGATGGCTGCACATCTGTTCGCTAGGCGGTTAATTTCATCCTCATTTAGGTTGGCTTTTTCCAGGAAGTTTCTGAATGGTGATCCGTGTTCGAGGATCCTTTGAGTAATAGCATTTTCCACATCATCCTTTTCATTTAGGTTTGCTCCGAGGCCACGTAGGGAGACTACATATCTGGATGGCCTGTAGTTTGCGAAGTTGATCACGATAAAGCATATCGCGCGGCTTATCCATAGATGGCCGGCTATGAGGGTGTTGATATGTGAGGGGTGGAGGCCTTCCACAAGGAAGCCCTAAGGGGTTCCGGATTGGTCATGGGTTTGGGCCGTTGGCAGATGGACCGTAATGTTTGGGCCTGATTGAGGGAAGGCCCTTTTAAGAAAGGTCGTCATTCCTGAATTTTTGGTTACTTTTGGCGCTGTGCTTGGCGTCTAGCGGGTAAGATAGAATAGTTCTCGAGATGGATCTCCATTGGGCGAGGCGGTCGTCGCTGATATTGGCAAGAATTCTTGCGGGTCGCGCACCGTGGGCTTGGAAGTCAGTCAGTTCACCGTCGAGGTCGACGTAGTTGAAGAGGACATTCCCATCTTGTGGGCGCTGGGCTGCCACTGTTACATAGTCCAGGGCGTCTGCTGTGGCCGGGATTCGGGTGTCGTATGGGAGTCCGAGAGGGAGGTTGGGTGTAATGATAGGATTTTGGGTGTCAGCCATCATATGGTTGTCAGAAGAGGTGTTGCCGGCCCTTCCTACAGTAGGAGGGGGTGGGGGCGCGAGGCTTGGCCCTTGTATGTTAGCCGATTCGGGAGACCTCTGGCGTTTGGCTACTTCGAGTATGGAGGTGGTAGGTGGGAGTACAGACAAGGGTAGTTCGGTCATAATGGGGGCTCTGATTTTGGCCACGGGGGTACTTTGTCGGTATGACTTGTTTGGGGAGTTGTCTACCATAGTGTCATCTTCCTCAAGGTATTTAGTGGGCGATGGTGATGATAGAGGGCTATCTTGCATATTGGCTGTTTGGGGAGGGACTGCTGTGTGGGGTATTATTTGTACGTTATTGTATGTCATGGTATTGTTTAGGAGTTCGTGAGGATACACACCGTTTTGGTGTACTTCCACTTGTATTCGATGTGGGACAAGCAGTACTTCTGTATGTGTACTTCGTGGCAGTATTTGCCTAATCTTTGTGGGATTACCTGGATACAGAAACTGTAACAGTTTAACATGTACCTTGCTCCTAGCCCCTACCAGATGGGGACCCGACAGCATATTAGGCTTAATATGATTGCCTTGTCAGGGTCCAGGGGTCTTTTTTGCTGGTAGAGCCAGCAACTCATCCGGTTTTACAGCTGATGGTCCCTCCCATATCATATGCCTGTTTTCTGTTGTTTATTGTGTACTTAGAGCATGTTATTTCCGTTATCTTACCCTGCTAGTTTAACGACGTTGCAGTCACTGTGCAGTCTTTTTGGCTGCATGTGTTCAATTCTCGCTTGTTGCAACTTTTTTTTAGCATTCTCCCATGCATTAATTGCATGCCCAGCATTGAGGAAGCGAGTCAAAGCTGCAGAGTCGATACCTGAGCACAGAGAATGCCAGAAAAAGGTGGCAACAAGTGGGAATCGAACACATGCAGCCAAAAAGACTGCACAGCCTCAACTCACGCTATAACATCTACACTACAGCACACCAACAACAATCACAGTTACAACTAATATTTAAACTATTAATTTTTCCGCATGCCCAGCTATTGACTCCACGACCTTGACTGTGCTTCCTCAAGCTCCCACTTGTTGCGCGACCCTCTGCAAACTGGACTCCGGCATTGGTCATCATAATTACATGTACAATACAAAATATTTGAATCACACCACAGACGCTATTCAGTATTCCCTTATGCGGCATTTCCATATCTGGCCACATTCTGACCTCTATTCAGTAGGGTCAGTCGGGTCCCAGACTAGGGGAGAGATAAATTTGGTAGCTGAACTCTACGACACGTGCGTCAAGCCTGTTGTAACTGAGTGCTCCTTTTACGTCATCCGATGATCCTACCGAATCTGAGGCGAAAGTTTGCGGGACGATTTGTTGTTCTTTGTTGCTCAACCTGTTGGCATCGCATTGGATTGGATCCGGCCCTTGGCGGACGACTCGCGGGCGGGTCGAATCCTAAGGAGAGTTTTTGGGTGATTGGATGCATAGGGGCCCATGAGATTAGATTAATGTTACGAAGTAATAGAGGCTGGAGTCCTGCCTATCCACCACCTCTCTTATCTTTGCTCTCGCGCAACCCATTGTGGTCTTCCACTATATTTCAAACCCTCATCGTGTTAGGTAATTCGATCCTACTTTGAAGTGAATACTGAGTAATAACCATCAGTGTTCATCATTGGGGCTGTCTTGACAGTTACCTTGGCTTCATATGTCTGGTCACTCCTCATCCGTTCCCGTTGTTGTTCATACTCGCGGCCTTGACTCAGTTCTAACCGGCTTTGCAAGAGCCGTTGACGGTCCTGGGGTAGAGATGTCGCGCCATGAGGCACTATAAATCAGATCATTATCGCTGAGAGGTTAGAGCGCGCCTTAGATGCTACGGCTCTAGAATTGTTGTCTGGATTATATATATGATCTGTCGCGATGGCGGCGTTCAGCAGTTATCGCCATATATGACTCTGAATGACGTCGATTGTTGCTTTGCGTAACGGCGGAGCTACCAGTGAAGGAAGCCCACCGGTTTGGTTACTACCATCTTACCCGCTTCTTTGGAACACGCAACAAGTGCAGGTAATCGCGACCCAAGGGCCCACAGAATTTAGTTGTATAACCTCACATGTGGTACAAATGAGAACTCGGGACTACCCTCAACTGCAAACAAGGAAGGCAGCTAGTTAGAGCTAAGGCCACGAAAGGTGAGGATCTCCGTAATGTAAGATGGTCACGGTGATGGTCGGGTGGCAGTATTGCACTCGCCAGATTCAGGTCAAGGTTGCTTAGTACGTCCCTTGGCCGGATTGGGGACATCGGGGTAAAGCTGGTCGGGGTCGTTCAGAGATCGTTCTCGCTTCAGTGAAACACGGCGCTAACCTTCCCTGGATTAAAAAGACCCAAAGGATCGAGAGCATGTTTAATCGTCCTCATGAGCCCAACCGTCCCGGAACCTAGTTCTTCGACCAAGAACTTTTTCTTCCCGATGCCAACGCCGTGTTCACCAGTACCTGAGCCACACTAAGTCGCCGTGTTCTTTGAATCCCGTGGCTTCTACTCACACGTCCCTTCAAGGGCAATGGCCCTACGAACCATCCTGTGCACTGCTTCCTCCACCTTGGACCGTTCTTCTTCATTTTCGAATAGCTGATCATGGTTAGCGTTGCTTAGTTGGTGCATCGACGCCACTACTAACAATGAGAGCATGGAAATTCCCTGTATGAAGATTTAATCTATGAGGAACTCGATGTTCTTTCCAACACCATAGAAAGCCGACTTGCCATCACCGACGTGACCTAGCACGGTACTGAGGAGTCCATTGTCTTGAAGATCCTTTGAAGCCCATGAATACATGGATCGAAATCTCCGTCAAACGTGGGATGTACCTTCTTCGTTTCAAAAACCAACTGTGGCAGTTTGCTGACAGGAACTGAGGAAGAGGAGAATTCAAGAGACGTCAGAGAGCTAGCCTGTTTGGTTCCTACCACAAACATCAGTACTCCATCCCTTTGCATTAGGATTCAAAGCCAAGCTCGAAAATAGAGCATTCTTCCTGTCCGCCCAGAGGCTCTGCGCTTCATCGTCATTTTCTGCAACAATGAAACCTGTGGCCCCAAACCCTTCGACCTTCTCCTTAACCAGTCGCGCGGTCTCTTGAAAGGATTCCTTCGAGCCTTGAAACTTAAAAAAGAGTGAATCTGCTTCAGGATACTTCCGCTTGGATTGCCCATACGCGTTCGTGGCGCGCATGAATGTGTCGTCACACAGTTCGACGCATTGGATATTAGAGGCTACGCTGGAGGTTAATATAGCACGAACAGCTTCCGTGGCCTTCTTGACATTCGGAAATTGAGCAACCGCGCACGTAGTCTCAAGCAGAGGCGCAAGACGGATGGTAACTGTAAAATTGAGCCATCCTGAGGAAATTCGAGGAACATGCAGCGGACAAACCCTCAGTGACAATTCCTAACGTCCCCTCGGCTCCTGCTCGACAAATAGCGGCCATGTCAATAACTGATTTACTCGTCTCCATCTGAGAAGACACACCAATGAAAAGCTTTGTGGTGTCGAAACCAGCTGATCTGCCACAACGTATGTCAGAAACGTTACCGAAGGCAATTGTGGTGAAGACCAACGATTTTCTAGCCCGTTTCCGGGTTTTTATGACCTCGCCCGACGGCAAGACTACCGTCTACGAGACAACGAGGGTCAGGGGTAGTATTGCGGTACCGCCAACGGCACATACCGCATTCAAAAACCATTCACCTTTCGCGGTGCCATAACGCACCGCATTCGTCCCGCTGCACCCGGTAGCCATCATCCCCCCTAACGTAGCACTAGGACCGGGGTCAAGCTAGATGGACGGGGTCTTGAGTCGGTGCGAACCATTGAATTGACCAGATCTTACAGGAAAGAAGAGTGGAATGCCTGCATCAGACAAGAATTGATTGATACCATCCCAGGTGGCCCCTGCCTGGCACACCATGTCTGCGTCTTCCTCTATTTTGCATAGGATTGACAGTTGAGCTGAAAGATTCCCATTCCCAGAGGTACTCAGCTCACCATGAACTTCAAGAACTTGATCCATATCAGACATGTCCACGCATATGCCCCCGGAAGCAATCAAATTTCCAGAAGAATCGGTAGACTTGGAAGGGATCGTTTCTGGGACATCACATCATTTGATGAAGGAGCGCTTACTCCAGCCGTGTGCCCTTCTAGGCTCGTCCCCCCAGCATACGGAACGATAGGGATTCGATGATCCCGCGATACATTGACTATGCGGACCACATCCTCAGTGCTCTTCGGGTATACGACGATTCCGTGTGGTGTCCCTGGGTGATGATTGTGACTCGAAAAGCCATGAAAATGTAAGACACTGGGATCAAGAGACAATTGGGAAGCAGGAAAGTCCGCCTGCAATGACTTCAAAGCTGCCAGGAAGTCTTCTGGGCCTCCGAATCGTAACTTTTCTCCCCAGAGAGACTCAATTCTGGAGGGATTATTATAGGATTTAGAAAGCGAGAAGCCCACTCCCCCACTGACAATGGCGGTCACAGCGATCGCACTAAAGACTTTATAAGAATATATACGCGACACATCCGGCCCAAATAAAGCCGTTGAGAAGGAATTCCCAGATGGCGGCCTCTGGAACGCCGGGGGTTCACGAGTGACAGCCAACCTCATTGACCGCTGCCACAAGTGGCATCTTATGGCGAGCATAGTGTGTAAAGGGCCTTGCCGATACGAAGCGAGCATAACGCCTCGAACCACTCGGGCGTCGAACGCTGGTCTCAAGAATAGTCCTGAGCTCGAATACCTCAGGCAAGTCATTACCAAATTTGGTAACTTACCGGACCGGTGGAATCGATCACGGCAACTCGAAGTCTCTCATCGATCGCACAGTCATGTATGTATTCCTATTTAGTGCTTCCGACCCCTGCCCACCTCAAGCTTGCGGTTTCAGAAGCAGTCTAAGAAACACTTGAACCTTCGAACTTGCCCAGAAGGCATCGTAGCAACAATGTCTGTCAGAACAACCCTGTACAATTGGAGCCCAGGGGGAAATAGGGGCCTATCGTTCTACCTTCCAAGCCCAAGCGCCTGACGATCTCTAAATCGTTGAAAATTGTCACCTACGACATTTGGTCTTTCAACAGGAACGGATGTAGATATATTGGGGCGGGAGGATCCCGACGTAATTTGTATCCCGCAACCTTTGAGTTCATTACATCTCGGAACCATGATCGCGGTCAAGAGAGAGGTGGATGCCCCAGAGTTACTTCCGAAATTTTCCTGACACACAATGCGGGAGAGGATTGCAAGTTCTCGAATTGCACCCCCCTTGGAATGAGCAGCGCCACCCCGGACCCGTAAGTGCCGTCCAACTACAGTCCCATCGCTTCTTATGCCATTTCTGCACCGATGCTAGATAAACATTGGGAACATTCATTATGAGTTGGACCTCGATCTTCGTTCACTCCAAATAAAGCTTTCAATTTCATGGCTCTCGCGAAACTTCTCCCTCTTTCCCATCGGCTCTACGTCTAGTGGATTCATTTCAGAATCTTACAGGGCATCAGTTGCTAGCATTCTCTGCGGCGACACAAATGTCTTTGAAGTGGTAGAGACTCAGCCATTCACCGACCATGGATATACAGATTGCTGGATGAAGATGAATCCAGATATAGCTGCATCTTCGACGGTTCCCAGCTCGCGACCTTCAGGCTCAACTTTTGGTTTGTTCGGCCTAAAATCAACACTTGACTCGAACGGGGTTTTTCCGCACGACGCACATGTTCGACGGCTAGACTTCGTTTTAGCTCGGAATTTCGATGTGAAGGAGTGCGTGTATCTAGGGACTAAGGAAGAGGGCACGGGCTCAGGGAAAACAAGGATGAAGTCATGGAAGATACACTGATATGGCCAAGCGATCATTGCGGTGTGTATGCAAATCTTAGCTGCGGTCGCCATCATTGGCCACAGCGGACTAGGCTCGAACTATGCATTGGGAATTGCTGGGGTTAGTGGGAAACATTAGGATAACGTCTACTCAAATAGCAGGGTGCAATAAGGATATATTGTGGAACAAGTCTCTAAGTCCGACGTCTTCGATGATCCGAAACAAAATGTAAGATCACTTATGTGCAACAGGCACGGTCAACACGTTGAACTCACTTGAAGCATATCCATCCGCACCGCGGTGATCGTCTAAGGGATTGAAATGTCATTGCGCTAGTCCTCCGTCCATAGTTCACGGGAAGGTAATAAAGAAAATTATGATGCCCATTCGAATCCACGAAAAATCCAAGAAATAATGGGACCAGGAGCATCACTTCGATCGGCTTGAGCGACTGCGACTACCGGACTTGCTTTTTATACGGCCACGTTCCATCTTTTCTTTCTGACGCGCTTTCTGCTTTCTTGCAACAGCGACTCGCGCAGCTTTCGTCTCGTACGTGAACTTTCTAATTTTCTTTCTGGGTGACTTGTCTGAAGGGGCCGAAGGAAGACTAGAAATAGGTTGGGAGCAAGACCGGGGGACTGGCACTCCGTCGGTCGATGCGCCATCCAGACAATCCGCCTCCAGAGGACGATACTCGAATTCTCCCGCGGTGGAAATGTTGAAGTCCTGGTCGATAGTCACAGTCGCCAGTTCCTCCTCCCCCTCGTACTCGTGCTCTTCGTTGTTTTCATTGCTTGAGCTTGATGAATCATCCTCATTTGGCTGGTCGTCACCTTCGATGGTGGAAAGGGGTATGATCATGAACTGAGGAAGACATCAATTGAATAGATTGACCTGATGACAAGTCGTTGCCGTAGGCACGTTCTACTGCTTTCGCATTTGCTACAGCCCTCTCTGCCAGCGAACGTCGCTTCTATCAATTCTTGAGTACAACGAACATGATATGTGAACCACTGCACACACCTCACGCCTTAACTCGAGTCGTTCCTGACGTTGCCTTTCTTTCATTTTGGCAGCCCTAGCCTCTTTCTTGGCTAGGTTTCGTTTATGGAAACCTGTCAGGTAATCCCTGGAAAGGACAAAGCCACAACTTGGAATATCCCCTACATCAGCTGCGTAGGGTAACCCACTTTCGTGCTCTTTCATCGAACAGCACCTCCTTGGTTTCGCCTTTTTTCTCTCGATCGTGTCCAGCCTTTCTTCTTCGTGCAAGATGCTGTGCCATAGTGACGCTGTCCATGTTATCCTTCGTGAGCTCGGACGATCTAATCCCGCTGTTAGACAGAGCCTCTTGGTGATTGTGTTCAAATGGCCTTTGTTTTTTGCCCACCCTATTTTGGAAAGTGCTGCCGGTGCCGGAATCAATTTTCATTTTTTTGGCGCCCTGAGTAATATTTAAGACAGTGCTTTATCGTCAATCTGGGGCGCCCACAGCGCTTCCCAAATCGGCACACATCCTGGTGTAGCGCCTGGTGTCAAGGAAACATGTCCTTTGATTTGGTGGTCCTTGGTTGTGGTGGAGGTCCGGACGAGTTGAATCTCTCATCGTAAGTCATTGAAAGTGTTCAGAAATTGTGCAGTTGTTACAACCATTATTTTCAAGATATCTGTTCAAGACGTGCCAGAACCAATGGTGTGATGGTATCTTATCTGTTGAGGCTGGTATGTCTCGGATTTTTAGAGGAAACATTCACCCTCAGCTTTTTTTAGGATCTGGTTTAGGTGCTCTTAGAGAACTCTTGTCAAGAGATCCGTTCATTTTTGAGGACCTGAAAGTGATTGGGAAAGATGATCTAGCCGAAAAGGTGCTGGACGATGGCTCGCCATCCCAGCGAGCTGCCCGCATATACTCATGGATTAGAACATTCCTTATCAGCCACGCTCATTTAGATCATGTCTGTGGTCTCATTATAGGCGCTGGGTCTACATCTAGTTCCTCTCCTCGGTATATCGCTGGCACTGAGACCGTAGTTCGAGACATCGACACAGTCTTTGGAGGTGACTACACGTATCACAAGCAAAAGTGCGCTGAATAAAGGAACGTTTACCGCCCATTAGGTCAAAAACTCTGGCCAAAGCTTGCGTCTCGCTATGAATCTCCTGCCTCAACATTCGGTTTCATTTATAACTCGTTAGTCTCTCCTTCCGTGTAGCTGTCGACATGCTCAGCCCCCTTTTCCAGACTTTCTTCGTTCGGGCCTTATCATAGTCTTTCTCCTAATATATCCGTCCTCCTTCTTCCGATCACACACGGGATGGTCGATGGCGGGACATACGAAAGCACAGCATTTTTTATTCGTAATGATACCACCTTAGAGGAATGTTTATTCTTCGGCGATGTTGAACCGGACTCTATATCTTCATACCCACAGACTCTCAACGTTTGGCGTACGGCTGCCCCAAAGATTCGGGATGGGATGCTGAGCCATATATTTCTCGAATGCTCCTGGACTTCCGCACGCCCCATACACCTGCTCTTTGGTCATCTTTCACCTCCACACATCTTGGACGAACTCATGGCACTCGCCAGAGAAGTTGTTTCCGTAGGGCGCCACTCAACTCGGAAGATTTTAGATTCGCAATTGGAAGGTATTCTCAGAGGGGTTACCCTTGTTATCATTCATTGTAAAGAACCCATCACCCCTTCTAACCCTGAAAGTGACATCGTGGACGTCATTGTTGGCGAGGTAAAAAAATTGGTGTACCCCGCTCGCTTGGGCGTTTCTGTCATCGGGGCTCGACAAGGGATGAAGCTTCGTGAGCGGCCGCCCCTTGATGTGGACCCAAAGTTCGCTAATCGCCTCCTTGTAGGTTTTTGACATCTCGCCTCCGCGCTTGTATCCATCGAACTTTACTGTTGGGATTTCTGTATACTCTCGTGTCTCATCTTATTCGATACTACCCGCTGGATTTAGGGCTCGTTACAGTGGACTTGGTACAGTTTGTTGTAATTTGATCATGTCACATGTCAATTTGTCGAGCATTAGTGTATTTCTACTCACCTGGGCATGTCACTGCCGCCCCAGTTGCGAGCATCGTTGAGTCCCGTAGAACTCGAATTCATAGCTTGCAGTCATGAGACGATTGAGATCGTCCCATTGTTCAGCATGGATCGGATCCGTCTCATTTCGGTGAGCGTCCCTATCACTCTTTCCCGACGAATCAGGCGCGTCAACGATAAATTACGCGCAGGGTATATATGGCCCTTTCGTCCCACCGACAAAAACGCGGGTTCCGCTTTGGTTGGCAGCGCACTTGAAGCTCAAAATGAAATGCCGAATAATTCCCCCGGAATGGCTTTCTGTAGGTATGTTGCCCTTAATCACTGCTTCGTTCTCGAGCCGACGAGTACATGTACCTAGACTATCTGAAGGCAAAAGTGGAAGAGGAGATATTGAATCCTGAGCTGTTTACCGATATTCCGTTTCATTACTCTGAAATAGCTAAAGTTCTCCTCGACATGTGCGTTGCGACTCCATATCGAATCCCCCAGCCCGTTCAAGAATCCATATTGTCTTTATACAGAGCCTCAGACAACATTCAATCACCAGACAAGATTCGATCCTCGCTGAAAGACCTTCGAGAGGCAAGGCAGGCCAAACTTCGGAACAATTTGGGGAGTATTGACTTCGCCATTATAGTGGATGTAAATCCCGCGCCGTTCTTTTTTGTTGCGTCATCTCTCACATTTCGAATTTCATAGCTCCCTAATCTCTCGTCTATGGAAATTAACGAAATCCGCCCTCATTTCACGAAAGCCATGAGCATGATGAATGGATTGACACCCCCTGCCTCTAGCAAGCCTGAGGCTGACATGGATGTAGACAACACATACTATTGAGCTAATGACTATCACCATCATCGATAATTCAGCATTCACCAGACCTCATCCCAACCAACACCTCTTCGATCATACTGCGCGCCTCCCTTTTTCTCCACCCCTGCTGCGCATGAGCCCGCCCGCGACACGGATGAAAATAGACATACTCTTCCAGGAACGGATGTTCTGCATCACGAAAATCCGACAGGTTCAGGAGCAAGGTCCCCTGCTCTAAAGTCTCCCGAGTGCTAGAGCACTTGTCGGGTTTTCCTGACGTCTGTGGTGTCTCGCGTTTATGGAAGCGCCCTGGTTTCTGCAGCCCATATGTTGCCCCGTAGTAGTGCAGTTTCACGAAGTGCTTATTGCCGTGCCACAAGGCCACCTCGACAACAACTGTCCAAGGGTTATGATGCCGGGCTACCTGGCTGAAAATGGCACCTCGTGGCGGGGGATGACTGGATTCAAGATGGGACGTTGGATAGTACGACTACGTAATACAGGTCGATAGGGAGACGTGGTCGACTTTTCCAACTCAGTACGGTGAGGAAGAACGCTTTAAGAAGGCGTGTTGCGGATGGAATGCTGAGAATGGAGGGAAGGAAATAGATGAAGTCCACAATCTACGTGGACGCTTGATCATTTCAGTAGTACGATTCCGATAGAACACAATTGAAGTCGTACGTATAGAAGTTGGCACGAAATTATGACCCTCCTAAGCCGAATGTCAGAGTGATAAGCTAAGCCAACTCTTCCGATGCAGCGTGGATGTCTTGAAGGCACCATTGCTGAATGATGATATCTCCTCCAGCCTCAAGATAACAGCAAAACGGGTGCTGCTAATTCGTTTACAAGCTGAACTGGGATCCAATCGCGCGTCTTCCAACATTCGGCCAAAATAGCAAACTAGTGCTCCCTTCTCCTCATGTACCATGAAGTGATTTAATGGGGGAGGAATACCTGGGGAGGATCCCCAATCTCGTCGCAAGGAAAAACATCTTTAAAGAAAGATACCAGGAAAAAGGATATCACATTCAGATGTTGTCGTAGCGGCTTGAAGCGACCATGCTGTGAATAACCGCATCATTTTACAGAGAAGGGAGTTACCTTCCACAGCAAAATAATCATGTCCCAGCCATATCACAGGGTGTAAGGCGCCACTAAATAATCGAGACAGCATTCGGGGTGAATCATGTTTCTTCTCTCTGATCCAGTTAAGTAGAAGCGTCGGAGAAGACGTAATGATCGCAATATAAACGGTAATACCTTCAAGCTAGGATATATAAGTCAAGATGATATCGCAACGCCGAGACGCACATATCATCTCCGAGATGTTCTTCCAGTGGACGCGGTTGAGGCACTTTGATTGCCAGCCGCTGGTATGACTCATGGGAATCGTATATGTAAGGCAGTGGTGTAGCCGAAGCACCGAAGTAGCAGGCTGCACAGAGTTGTGTACGGATTGTTGGGCTAGGGTACCGGTAGAGCTAGCACGTTGTGATACCCCCTTGTGGGATCATGCAGCGTGAAACATGATTGACACCGGAAAGAGGGTGAGCCCCATTTATTCTCGAAGTCAGCCCTCTTGACAAGGGTAACCACAGGACAGCTGCCGCGACATCTCGAAAGCTGAGGGTTTCATCAGGGTTTGCATCGATCGTGAACCACGGCTCGTGTTGGGATTGAGTGGCATAGCCGTGCCGAACAAAGGCATGGGCAATTGACGGGCTACGAACTTCTGGGGCGGGCCTAAACGGATGTATGGTGCTTCCATCTTTAGCGATTTCCGTCAGTCCTGCAAGTTTTTCTTCCTCGCCCAGTGGCAAGAAGTCCTCTATTATAACATTGCAATACCTAGCTCGATGCGCGCTTGTATCGCATCGTGAAACGACGTGTAGCATTGGGCCACTCCGACTACGAGTGTGTCTGTGTGTAACGGTTGCAATGGCTGGAGGAAGAGATGCACTACCCCACGCTGTGCCAACATGAAAAGACACGTCGACTCCTGATATTGGAGTCAAGAAACTATGTACAGATCGTGCACGTAGGCGTTACCAGTTTTTGACCCTGGGCAAGTAGGGGACCCCATTAATGTTCAGAGATGGATGCGTGACGGATGCACGGACTCGTCTATCACGCCAAAACTTTTCAGAAGCGCGACCACAGAGGCTATACGCAAGAGAGAGAGAGGCTGGCTCAACACCATTATTCATGCACAGATCACCCTGTGTAGGCCAATGCTCTCCGTGAGCATTCCAATTGAACCAAAAGCAGTGACACTCCTGGCCTGGTGACTAGCCCTGCAGAAAGGAAGCACAGAAGATCTGCAGGAAACTGGTAGGACTCTGTGCAATGGGACCTAGCTTCCTTTACATAATGCAACAAGAGAACTGGAAAGTCCATGCATGCCGTGAAGGATTGATCTCGAAACTGCGAAGCTCGAAATGAACATCCAAGCTATCCATTCACTTAATTAGTCGAGACACATCGCGCTCGTCGATGGTCGCGACTTCCCCGATTACATAATATCACGGGAGGACAGTTCGTAGGACAGCGGATAGGATAGAGGTGATATTGCGAATAATTAAGTTATGCTGGGGTAGAAGTGGTGTTGGATTCTGGCCGTATCCACCTTTGGTTGAATTGGTTATTGGAGAAGGGTTCCACATTGCAAACGAAAAGCGTGTTTGCCAGGGGTGCACACGGAATCGCCCCGTCGCTGGGGATACTTCACCTGACAACAGGGAAAACATAGGTATCGGAGGCTTGAGGCATCGCCAAGAGGGCAGTAAGTATTAAAGACTGGATGCAGTAGCGTGCATGGGCACAAGTCGTGTAAGCGCCGGAGGACCCGGTCCTTCTCGTGCAGTAAATTCGTCTGCTACAAGGCTGAAGCACGTTTTAGACTGGATTATAGTTGCAACCAAGCGTCCTGCCGAGCACAAGTCATACCCTCACTTGATGGATAAAGATCCGTGAGCGCCATGACAGTCTCGACGTTTAGAAGTCATCCTCATCGAGGGGTGCCCGGGTGATTTGTGCGTGTGGGCACTTGAATTTCAAAACGTTATTCTGACGGGCACTCAACCCCCCCTCAAGGAGATTAACAAAAGCTGAGCGATAGCGGCGTTCTGAAGGGTGCAGTTGAATCGCTTTCCTAGGCACCCAATAAACTCGGCGGTGTCCTGCAGAACAAGACGCTTCGGCTTCAACCGGTAATGGTTCGGTTTCCCGAGATAGAGCATCGACGCCAGAACATAAACCAATTATATCTGGCTTGCGGGAGTAGATCACCGCCGTTTCTCGGGAGGTATCAACCGAATCGTGCGTGGGTCCAGGATTACTGATTTCTGTGGCCTCAGAAGTTATGCTTTCAAGTCAGGCGCGTATTAGTCCCTGAAATAAGAGAAGCTGCTATTATACGCTGTGGCTACAATGGAAATTTCTCATCGGCACCCAGGGCATTACTGCCTTCGTCGATGTCTACTCCTGTGAGCCTGCTCCAGAAACAAAATCCGAATGGCCCCAACCCCATCATAATCACCTCAAGGAAGCCGAAAAGAACCCCAGGATAGACATGTGGACCAATTCCAGTATGATCAAGACAATATACAGCTGATAATCAGGAATGTGCAGAACAAGCCCAGAATAGACCTAAGAATCACCAGCACGGTTATCTCCATTGGCATGCGGCAAGATTGCACGGACAAACCCGTTACACGAAGCCTCTCCCTCCGCGTTTCTCGTCGATTCTTCTGAACCGTTCCTCTTCCCTGCGCTGTCAATGAGGTAGATAGAGGGGAGATTCAAGGCCGCACTCATGAGAACGAATTTGAGGTGTACCCACCACGTTGATAAGGCAAAGGCTGGCGAGGAAGAGAGTCAGGGTGATAGCAATGAAACCGTATATCTGCAATCGAAGGATCAATATGAAGGAATTAAGTGCCACCGAGAGTTATAAATAATTTACAGTTCTGTCGAGTAACATTATCGGTAAGAATATGCAGAAACATGACAGTGGGTCAAGACCAACTTACGTGAAAATATTGTCAACCACGACGTTGATTTTCGGGATGATGGGGGTCACGCAGCCCGGCAGCGCAGCTGCCGTTGCGTTGTCGTGGCAGACCGTGCCTCCAATAGCAATGTTTGTGCCATTGAACCATCCGCAGCATGTAAACTAACTCCGCAATGACAACACGAAAAAGTTGATCGTAATTAACACTCACCTTGTCTTGTAGCTGCGTTCGCACCTCAACAGCGGATGCAATCCACACCTTCTCATAATGTGCCCGCTCTTGAAGGGTTTGGACCCACATAATGGACCCAATGATGATACAAGCTGCACTATCAGCGATTAGCGCCCAGTTGAGGATCTTGAACCCGCTCGTGAGTGGCCTGCGCTGTGTGACGGCAAAAACTGATACAAAGAAAGTGATTTCGAACATAATTCCCAAAGCGAGACCAGCTAGACAAATTGGAAGTATTGTCGAGGCCACTGTTATAGTGAACTCTTCGGACGTAACATACCGCGGAGGCTCATCTTGCTGATGATAAAGTTATTCATCAAGTGCTTTCCAGCCCACAGTTGGGAGAAGATGATAAGAATTAATCCAGAAACCAGAAGACAGAAATCAACGGCAGCCCAGACTCCTGTGAGACCACGCGAAGGCATTGGGACTTGAAAAGTTGGGTGCAACGAAATTTGTTAGAAACTGTTGGATTAAAACGCCCTGTCATCCGAATGTCTGTCATTGATGCCCGTATAATAAAGCACTGACAGATTAAAGATGGTAGGTATGAGAGGGAACAATGACGAAAAGCCCCAGAGGCTGAGGCGGAAAAAGCAAACAATTATGACGATCAACGTCGACAGAACGTTAGAGAGGGGTCAGGACCAAGCGAAACGGGAATCCTTGTGACAAAAGAAAGCGGTGACCTTGGGTTGCGATGGACAACGACGGTTCCTAGGCAGACGTTGTCATGCATCACAGGCAACGGGAACTCCAGTTTGTGCGGCCGTGGGAATACCTGGCAATTCAAAGCGTTAGGTTATTCTCTTCGGGCACTCGATGGAAGACGACCAGGCATCCTGGGGGATTCGCCCGATTCTGCCGAGTGGCACTGGTGCGTGACACGTGGTATTGCTCCGTCACCGATATCTGCTTGCATATCCACCTTCGGAAGTACTGCCACTTTGCATCAGTCTCCTCTGCTAGATTTAGACACACTCTAGACTAATATGCAACAAGCTACAAGAATCAAGCCCTGTACTCAGCTACTCCCAACCCAACCCAATCACTTTCTGGAATCGAAGTTTACTACCCTTTTAGGGCCGCGGGCGATATCATTCTATCTACGTTGCAGCTCCGCAAATATAATTTGCAATCTGACAACTGCTGCCGAGTTCCATGGATTACTAGGACCAACCTTTTCCTCAACCCTTGACCTTGGCATTAATGGGTCCACTAAGCAAAACCCCCATCTTTGATATGTTGTTGTATCATCTGCCATATATTATGTAAGTAATATCACTCACTTAGAGGTATGTATCCAACCCATCATGGTACTATATTGTTCTTCATTCATAAACGCCCGATGGACCGGTGAATGCCACCGTTCCAGTCTCCACGCTTCATGAACACGTTTTTTTTCTTTCCATATGTGTCTCGTATCTCTACGCCGCCCGGATAATATCCTTCTTCGTCTCTCCATCGGGTCGTGTTGTGGCGGGCTTCATCGATAGAACCCCTATTTCCTATGCCCACTCGACTGAAGTTGCTAAGTGTTAGTTCCCACTTAATCATGGAGTCGCAATGTGTTGGTCTATAACAAAATCTGATATGTACTGCACCCTAGAGACAGGGGTTTCTCCCAAAAACTCGTCCCCCCATTCAAGAACAAACTAATTTGCACCGGCTTTTTTGGTTGCATTCCTGCATTCCCATTTTTCAAGGACGACGTGAGCCACTTCTTGCCCATAGTGTGAGGACGCGGATGCGGAAAGTGCCTGTCAGGTCCACAACAAATTCATCACCGCGGTCCTCGGGGTGTCTCAGATGCTATCTTTGGAAAAACCACGTTAGTCACGTCATTCAGCCCATCATCACCGAATTGTCGATTTTCAGGCACGCTCAGCGTGCCCTGGTCATGCTTAACCGCCTTGATATCAGCTCGGGATATTGAAATTCGTGTGATTCTAGATCCAGGCAAATTACACAGCATGGACAAACAAGATATGAACATTCCAATCTGGGTAAAATGTCGTGAATTCCACCTTTCCAGCAAAGAAGACAAAGCGAAGACAATTACAATTGAGAAAACCACAACAGAAAACATAAGGATCATGAAACATGGACGAGACGGAACAAGTCGTAAGCAGAACAGAAAACAAGACGCAAGGTATTTACATGCGTGGGTGGTGAGGTGGTGAGGTGACGCCTGCAGTCGTGGAAGGGAAAAAAATCGTCAAGTAGAACGCCCGAGTTCCGAACGAGGTCGTAAAGAGTCTTGCGATGTATGGATTGAACATGAGCAATTAAAACGTGAAATTCCAATAACCGGGTTGAGATCCGGGACGAATTCGGGTCACAAGTCAGAGGGAAAGAGCAATTTGGGGCAGAAAGGTATTGCGATACAGGGATTCCCAAATTATGCTTGAATTGTCGAAATCTGGCACCAAGCCTTAATCGCCCTTTCGTGGTGTCAGCAATCGCTCAATCGGCCGCAAAATGGAGTAGAAGAGCGCAGCTCCGAAGAAGCCGAGTTCAAAGCCGATATCGCCTGCACCTGTCTTTGCAATGGGTCCAACATACCAGATTTGGTCCATGCTGGGAATAATTAAGCCGAAGCTTAGAATAATACTCCCCAGACCAGCCAACCCGAGAGGAAGAGCGTGAAAGTCATTCCAAAGAGTACGGTCATAACGTTCACCAGAGGAGGAGCGGAAAGCAATGTGTTCGACGAGGAGGACAGCGGAGAAGGGAGAGCAGTAGTATGCGATGATTTCGAGGAAGTGAAGCAGGGCAGAATCGAAATGCTTAGCACCGACGATAGCGAGGGGTATGAGACTATGGGACACGAGTTAATAATGTGGCTATGCACCTCGATGCCGAAAACACTCACATCGCCGTGGAAATAACGGAGAATACGTATCGTGGCAGTTTGGCGAACCATGGCGCCACGCACTGGAATGAGATACCGAAAGAGTACATCGTAGGAGCGCAAGCAGCAGGCACGCTCATCGCAAGCACGACCATACAGAATTTGCCAAATCGACCAGCAGGCTTGAGTACAGCAGCGAATAACCCGCCAAGATTATTCCTCTGATATCCCAAAGCCCACTCCTGGTTGGCGTTCGATGCAACAGCGAGCGAAGCGCCAAGAATTTCGAGGAGAACGAGTGGCAGGAAGAAGCCGAGATAGGCATATGTGAAAATCTTCGCTTTGGGAACAGTGGGGGGCATGTATATAGTATAGTCCGCCGCAAGGGTTCCCCAGGAGAGGATGAAGCCCGCAATGGCCGATGCGAAGGTCAGGACCTGCGAAGCTGTCGCGGGAGCTGGTGGAGGAACGTTTTTTATGTGCTTTCCGCCGATCCCGACCGTAATGATGAATACGATCGTAACTGGGATCCATGCATAACGTTCGTATATGTTAAGCACTTTATATCCGGAGAAAGTCAGCTGAAGCAAATAGCTCATTCAGTCACTGTAAGGGTAGTGAACGAAGGGAAGACTTACTAGAAGCGAGATCAGGGCAATGATCACGATGCCAACGTTCCACGACAGGTTGCCATTGGATGCACTGGCTAGGGACTGACCACCAAGGATACAGTTGAGGATGAGGAAGCCCATAAATACCACAATGTTGACACAAGCTGTAAATGGAGGGGAATTGGCCAAAAGAATGAATTAGGCAAGAAGCATATTTTGATTCGATATCGGTGGCACCTGGATGAGGTGCTGGGAAATAGAATACTTACAAATAATTACAGCACCAATGTATCCTAAACTATATCGCGCAAAGATCATCTGGCGAAGACCGGTAATGGGACCAAATGTCGAACTAAAACGAGTATAGGGTTGGTAAGGATTTTACGATTTGAAGCAAGGGCTTACAAGTAGGCTGGGATGACACAGCATGCCGCGTTCATGAAAAGTATAACCAGAGCTGAGTCGCGCAGACCAAGGCCGAAAAATATAGGTCCGAGCGTGCCAGTTGACACACTGCAACATGTTGCTGAGCGTGAGAAATAGATACACAAACCGATAATCCAATAGTATGATATTGGGCACAGACATACATACCTGATCAGACAAGTGTTGGCACTGAGCCAAAGGAAGAACAAGTTGATGAAGTTGGTGTAGGTCTGCTGCTCTACCTTGACGGGGGACACTCTTGTGGAAGCGGAGGTCCGTAAGCGATGATACTCGGGGTAATTGCCAGCTGATCACTCACCCATGAGCCTCAACGCCGTAGGCTTTCAGCTTATAGGCAATTCTTGCCCGTAAGGTGCTCGGTGCGAGTGTGTTGTTTTCTGCAATTTGTGCATGGTCGGAGAAGGAGGAAGAGGACTTTTTCTCGATATCCACCATGGTGGTCGGATAGGTGGATGATGATGATGGAAGGGGGTGAAGGAGAGGGGGGAATGTGCGGGCGCGCGACGGATGAATATATATTCACTTTGTCGCGATATGGTGTTGGGCAGGGCCACCCATACATTCCCTTTTGCCTGGGAATATTGCTAAGCTATTTGATTTTGTTCCCGGAGGGGCAGCCAAAGGCAGGCCGCCGGATGCAAATAGCAAATTTGCAATAAATGATCCAATTCAGCTCTCATCATCATCATCAAAGCGCCCAATTTAATTTATCATGCCCTCAATTGAATAGATTGGCAATCGGAGGGATTCAGTAATCTCGATTCGACATCTCACGGCCCGCTACAATATTCTCTCAACCAGTTGTGCCAATTGACTAGACCAGACTAGACCCTATCCCACGTCGACCAATTACAATTTAAGCGAGTTTCCCAGGCCTCGTGCCTGTCCAAATGCATAAATGAATAAGTAAAATAAAATAAATAAGCACACCATGTATTCCTACCCAATCAAATCTCTGCGCGGCTTATCCCGCGGGCATCCTTTCAAACCACCCAGATATCTCCGAATGTACTCACCTCCATCATTATCTGCCCTCCAGAAAACACTCGAAGCCCACCTCCGAAGCCCTGAAGCCCTTTCCGAAGCGCAACATATTCCAACTTAAACTCGTATCGCACTCTCGCCTCGTCAGTGGATACCATCTCTGCCGAGCCCAACTTGACCAGGGATGGGCCAACACTCACTATAGCGTCAGCGCTGCATGGCACCAAGCCGGCATTGGAAACAATTCCCTCGCTGGGGGTAAGGAACGGGGAGGGAACCTCAGTCGCTGTGTTCAATGAATAACCGCCTTTGTTCCCAATGTGATGATCGTTTAATGCATCAACAGCTGGCATGGTGACCGTTGCAAAACCACGAGTTGAATAAGTTTCTCCCAAAAATGGCGAGATTGACTGTCCATGTGACGGTATGGGAGAGCTCGCCATGAGTTGGTTTGAAACCACATGTTGGGCCGGATCGCCGATAGAATGGAATAATCCAGACCCACTTGCCTGTGTCGCAAACGGTACGCTAACCCGACCCGACCCTCCAATCACAAGGCTTTCTGCACTAACGTCCAGCGCTCGTGTCTCTGTCCTCTGGATCGAGATCGTGGTCGTCCTCATTTGGTTCGTATCACCCATAGAAAGTCCGTCCCTTGTGGCAGAAGCAGAGGGGGTCTGTTGAACATCCAGCCTGAACCGCACATGAAATGGTTCTTGTGCCTTGATGACGGCACCGACCTCAGCAGCCTCATCAATGCGTCCGCTTGTATCCGCCACAGCTAATTGACTACCTAATTCGGACGACGCTCCAGCAACTCTCAATACTGACAACGTGGCTTCTCTCAAATGTGAAAAAGCCCCAGAGGTGGCAGCAGTCGGAATCGGGGGGGCTTGCCCTCCCTGACCTTGTGCTGAAGGGGGACGGTCAGCAAGAGGAGCCATGCTTGAGGAGGTTAAGGAACTCAGACTCGGCGATTGAGAACGGGACATTGGACCTGTCCCGACGTTTCGTACTCGGAACGGTGAGCCTGGGCGGGATCCTGGTGTAGATGTCGACGTCGTAACGGTAGGCGAGTGGGGACGGGAGATGGAAGATGCAGGGCCGGAGACATGTGGCGGAATGGCTATCTTTGGGTACATATAGGGAGGAAGACTTGAAATAGGTTGGCTGGTGCCAGCAGTATTTGCATTAGGATTCAGAGGCGCAGGAATAGGAAGTGGCGCAATCTTTCGCGAGAGCATCTTTACGCACATCACGAATAATCGAATAACGTTAACATAGACGCAAGTAAGGGTCAGATATTATCGAACTTACACTGGTTAACAATCTTCCTGGCTCGCCGAATGAGGATGTCCACGCTATGTCAAGTCGCCCAAGCGGGACTGTGCTGCCTGGGGCCTGCTTCGACGGTCGTTCGGGGGGTGCTTCAGACCCATCACCGTCACTCTCCCTGGGGCTGAGGACGTACAAGTACTGTCTGGTGTCTCCGGGAGACATCCCCGCCCTTGTGTTATCATACAGGGCATCATTCAGATCCCGGACTTTGAGGCCTGAATTAGGCGCGCATTCAAAGCGGATACGCTGGAATGTCATCGGTCCTGAAGAAAGATTTTGGAGATGAACTTCGAGGAAAACTTTATCCCTCTCTGATGGCCGCAACAACGCATTGGATGACTTGAGGGTCTGAACTTTAGTCTTAACAGAGAGGGGATTTGTGACCTGACGAGAGATCGCAAATAAGATTGGTGTACGCGGGCTATGATGCTCGAAGGAAAACTTTCCATGAATTTGTAATACTTTCTCAATGTCCTGAGCGTTGGGTCCGAGGGATCATCAGGTGGAACTGGATACGTTGTTGCAATAAAGCCAGGGATTCTATAAGTCAAAGTGCATGCAAGGACATGTTGGCCTAATTCCTTCATTTCTACTTGGACTTTGCATTCCATGAAACCGCCTGCTTTAAGCACTGAACTCTCGCTGCCCGTTTCACCGATAGCGGCCTTGTTTGAGGTGCTTTGAATTTCGACCTTGAGATACACCGAAGACGCATAAATTGGAGCTGGGTTGTGCGTCAAAGAAACGGAGTCATTGTTGATACAGATTACAGCAGCGAAAGTCTCGCCAAGTTGGATAGTACCGAAGGATGCCGGCAGGAGGAGAACTTCAGAAAGGGGATAGTCTCGAAGGGTGCTGGGGTAAGAGGCAAGCGGAGCAGATCGTTCGAGAGATAGGATGGAAGAGCGCGCATGTTCGGTGAGTGGCCCGCCATTGGGCTCAGTGAAGTAAGGTGCCGAGTGCGTGGCAAGCGTAGGTCGCTGCAGAACCATTCAAATCGAATAATTGAGCTCAGCGAGTACCTCACTCCATATCAGCGAGGACACCTACAGAAATTCGCATCACTTTCAGCGACAGCGCGTGCGTTCCCTCCATTCACTCAAACCCTCCTTCACCACGCCTAGCTTAACGCACAATAAATTCGGCCAACTCCGGCACAGCTGAGAAAGCGCCGTTCAAAAAACAATATTCAAAAGAAAAACAAAGCGAACACCAGCAACTACATAGGAGGGTTGCATGGCCAGACATACGATAATGAAAGGTAGGGACACGTGATACTGCCGGGCTAAGATTAATATTGGGTATCTTTCGCCACACGTACTGGTAGGGTGAATGTGCATCCCGTTTCCTTTATTTCTTCAATTAGCACTCCTTCATCACCCTTTTTCGAAGTTTGTGTTGGAGTTACAACGACGCGTGACTCACTAACCAAATTCACATGATCTTACTTTTCGTTTCCGTTGTATTGATACCGTGACTGCATTGTATATAGGTAATTGTTTTGGTATATTTTCCTTTTCCCCTCAGTTCTTCATTCACGGAGACTGAGCTCCCGCGTTAGCCCTCATATTAGTTTGAAGTCCCATCCTGGATATCTGCAACCTTTCTCGCATAAAACCATTAACCCTTGAACGGTAACAATTTTGTGTTTTGCATGGAAACGCCGCAATTTTGCGTCGATTTTTTACGGAGAGTAGCCAATGGGGACATACTGTACCCACACGACCAATTACCGGTCACACATCACACTGACGTTCCGGTTGAATGATCCTTGTCACACCATTTTTTTTTGGCGCCTAAGTGGCTGTGTGAAATCGAATTAAATTGTCTGCAAGGAAGTAGTTTTTTTGGTATAAAATGTATCAACACGAAAATTTGCCAGTTGGACATTTCCAGCGCCACTGTGGCTGGTGTCACACCAACCTTGCCACCTCTTCCGGTTGCTTGTCACACGTCACAAGGAGAAGCCGGTTGACTATTTTGTGTCACACTCGGAACCTCAGCCGGTAATTGGTCGTGTGGGTACAGTAACTCCACACCAGTGAAGATGGAGGAAAGAAGGATGCAAACCCAGTGCCTGAGATGGCAATTATCCCACTGCCAAACTACTACACTATACAGGTTCGTATGTCCCTGAAACTCATCCCGACCCCAGACTCCTAGTTCGAAGGCACAGAACTTGGTGGGGTTGGCATGAAATGCGAGTCACCGGAGATATCCGGGACGCATGTGGAGGATAATGGAGCACCCAGGAGTTGCAATTCATTAGCCGAGCTTGCGAGGCGTTTGTATTTTTGTGTATATATATACATGCACGGACGTTGACCCAAATCATTAGTTATATTTCCTGCTTCCATCTTACATCATCTAAGTGAGCCGCTGGTAGACGCGTTGTCGTATGCGGAACGCCATTTACAACACGCTTCGCTGATTAATCTGATTGTGACTCATTCCATTTTGACACGGTGCATCCCAACGTTCGCGCGTGCCCCGTACTGAATGGTAATACACGTGCAAATGAAATGTTGTATTGCCTCGTTTAAATATAGTTCCTCACGCTGCAAGGAGAATGCAACACCTGCTCTTGCATCAGAGAGGCATTCAGGTGCCAGTCTGGCTGGCGAGACAACCTCGCCTTCGAGGCGACTTATTAGTCCATCGGTCGGTTATAAATACTGTGCGGAGACGCGCACGGCATGACATGGCTCCGAATGTATGCGGTCTGCACTCCTCAGGCTCTCTTCATTATTTGAGTTACAATTCATGCATTTGTTGCAGTCGCCACAGAGGCTAACCGCCAGTCTTTACATTGATTCCGTTTTCCCAGTAAGATTCGGCAAGTGGGATATACGTTATCTCTTCGCCACTCTCCGTCAGCCAGCCATAATGGACAGACTGGCGGCCATATTCAAGGACATAGACGTTCATGGATTCAAGTTACTCAATTTGGAGCTCCCAAGGTGCGTTGCATCAGCTGTAGGTACATTTCCCCATTCCTTACTGTGATGGATTTAGATCCAAGGATGGAGGTGTTTTTGCCGAATTTCAGTACACGGCCCCCGACCCTGAGGAAATACCATATTCACTCGCTGAGATACAAGAGGTTCTGCGCAAATCAGCTAGAGATCATGGTGGTGTGCCTTCCTGGTCCGGTTTGAGGCAGGGTGATATATGGCTTGTAAAGGGGAAGCCTTGGAAAGAAGTAAAGCGACTCGTTGCGGCCGTGAAGTTCGGTGGCTGAGAATTCTACAATCGTTACAGGATTTGGATCGCTTTCCATCATCACAATTGAGGATCGAATTTGAGGGTGCAGATGTTCACACTGAAGTGCTGTACGAGGCGCTCAGGGTACGGCGACCCTCTGCATATTCTGGATAAAATCCTAAAGGCTTCCCTTCCACGATTTGACAGCCCTACGGCCCACTCGTTGACATCACTCGGCCATCACCTGTTCCTGCAGGGGCTCCCCACTTTGCGAATGCTGTATTCTACCAGGTCCGTTCTGCAGTGCGCGCTCAGAATTGCCTGCACGGAATCGTTATATACGCAAGCGATACCGCAAAGACTCGTTTGGGCCTTGTCTTCGAAAAGACGGTGAAGGTAAGCGCAGTTCGGGATTGGCTAGCCAGTCATCCAAGAATTGTGTTGCCTGTCCTTGCGTTCGTTTTGGGCATGCTGACGTACACGGCATGTCCCTATCTTCTAGTTCACTAGAGAAATGTTGTTTATCTGTTGTGAATATATCACTACTAGGTATTTGACCCCTTACGGACGTTCATGGTCGAAGTTAAAGTTTGGGAGATATTTGAGTACCCAAGTAAGATTTCAATCCATCCTTGTGGGAATGAGCCTCACTGCCAGTCTCTTAGGCAACAAGTTGACAGAATGGCTCAGGAAAAATATTTTTGGGAGGGTGCCGGTTGACCTCGGTGAATACCAGTCTCTGGCCATTCCGGGAGGCACATGGGAAGAAAGGAAGGAAGCTCAAGTTGCCATTTCAACTTATTTGTCTGATCAACCTGGTGGGAACTAGTTTTGTTTTCTGGGTCCATCCATCTTCAATGCTGGATTTCACCCTAGCCACAATCCTCTTTCTCCATGGGCCCGCCGGATCCGGAAAGTGGAATCTGGTTTCTCGCATCCTTCGTACTCACAAGCGGTTCGTCGCTTCTCCTTTTCCTTGCTGACCTTTCGTCTCACGCTGAACCCCGAGACCTCATCTGGTCCTTGACTGCAAGACTGTGCTAGCACAAGATTCGGACACCAGTGTGATGGCCCAAATTGCGAAGCAAACCGGGTATTGGCCCCTCTTTGGCTTCCTCGGCTATCTGAACAATATAGTCGATCTTGTCAGTGTTGGTCTCATCGGACAAAAGGGTATCCATCTTCTTCCTTTCCAGTTGGCATTTTCGGCTGCCTGACAGTGTTTATCTGCAGCTGGATTCAGTAGCCCCCTCGACCAACAGCTCATGGATCTTCTCAAAACCGTCGTGACGGCACTTAAACGTGTAAACCACAAACACATACTGGAACACGAGCGAAAGCTTCGGAAAGAGGTTATGCAAGATGAACGCGAGAAGCAGGACAAACGAGTCCGCGATATCATTCGTCATGGATTATGGCACGATGGGCGGCTTGATTGCATTGCTGGAAACGGAATTATAGGCGAGCTTGGCCTCGGTGACGAGCTTTTTAGGGCGGAAGATGATGTTCCCGAAGACATTGGAGACGGAGAGAAGCAAGCTGTCGAGGTATCAGCTAGGAAGTCGGACTTTCATGATCTCGTCACGAAGCAGGAGCGCTGGCCGAAGGCTTGGCAAGAAGCTGAGTTCTCTGGAGTGCCTATTGTGATTGTTAAAAACTTCGGCTCGAAAGGTGGCACTGGGACTCGTGACATCGTGCTGGATGTGTTTTCTAAGTGGGCAACCCAACTTGTCGAGGGCCATGTAAGCTTTTTGCATCTTTTCTCGTCCAGAATCCTCATCATCGCGCAGATCGCGCACGTCATTGTCGTGAGCGACAATAAGGAGAATGTCAAACGTTTGACAAAGTCACTTGGTGCTCGACCCCTCACGGCCGTTTCCCTCGAAGATGCAGATACGATGACTGCTCTTCAATTTGTCACAGCTCACTCGAGCAATGCTGAACTTATGCAGCGTTTAACTCTTGAAAAATTGTCATACATCGAGAGGCTTGGTGGACGCGTGAGCGATCTCGATGCGGTGCGTTATTTTGTAGGGATTTGGGTGAAGATGCTGATTCTAGTACAAACCATTCAAGCTCGTTTACAAGATACAAAATGGGATGAGCGTTGAGGCCGCTGTTGAGGACATCATTGAACGTACGACAAGCGAAGTACGTAGGAATACGTTCGGTGATGATATGGACGATGTGAAGGGTCTCGCATGGCAACGCGAGCAAGCGTGGGCGGTTGTCTCCAAACTGGCGTCGCAGGATGAGGTGCGCGTTTGTGGACGGAACTATGCAACCCCACTCATGCCGCCACCGGAAGATTCCCTATTTAGACACTCTCTTGGATTTCCCCTTCAAGGGCGATGACGTTCCTATAAGAGAGATGGAGCGCGCAGAATTAATCCATGTTGTCACTCGTCAAGGTGCAGTTGATCCCAGATTTAAAACTATCTTGAAAGTTGCTCACCTGTATGCACATTTTCTGGAGGAGTGCCAATATCGATTCGGGCTGGTAGACCAGTGTACAGATACGTTTTCCAGAGACTGATGAACGGTATGTGGAACATCACCAGTAATGGATTGATAGGCTCTTGATTTATGTTTTACCACACAGACCCAATATTCCATGCGCTTCAGGAAATAGGTTTCAACGAGAAACGGATTGCACTGGCTGAATCAAATGTTCGAGCTTGCGAAGAGGAACTCATCAAACTCAAGTCGATTGGATTGGACCTGACGGAATCGTACTGGGGCACCCCTTCAGTGAGCCTTAGAGTCAAATACTTGGCCCAGAAGATGAGATCTTCTGCGCAAAAAATTATCCTTTTGGAGGAAAAAAATGCCAAGCTGAGGAAAGTTCTTACGAAATATCCTCGATCGTAGCTACTGGTCGAAGTAATTTGTAAGTGCGAAATAATTGATAGTACCAAAGCTGCACCACTGTTACAAGCGAGTAAACAATCTGGTTTGGTGAATAGTTTTCGCAATCCACTCTCGATGAATGCTTATTCGGGAAGTTGTTTCATGCATGTTCATTGTGTCGCCTCCAGTTCCGTGTACGATTCGCGGTTACGTTCGCATCACCATTACCAAGAGTAACATACAGGGCCAACGGTACCAAATTTCAAGTCACCCTAGAACATCTGACATCGAAGGTCTTTCAAGTTTTTTAGACAATCATGTAGTGTGGTTTCTTATCTATGTCTGTGCTAAGTTTGAGGCCATATCCTTGTGATTTGGACGACTTAACATGTCCTGTTGTCAAAGCAGAGCATGAGGAAATGGTCAAGGAATGGGGTCCCAATGGTGGAATCGGGGGGCAAAACCGACACGTCTGAGGCAACAGGAAGTATATTCAGCTCAGAAGATGTCTGGAATGATGTACGGAACTAATATTTTATGAATCATTTTCCTCCGAACACCACACATACTAAGACGAGTGGTTCGTTGGCTGTGTTTCAATAGAAGAAATCGGGTGAATCTCAGGGTCTTATCCATCTCCTAGCGTCTCGGCATCTCACTGTGGGATGCACTGAGCATTGGTGAGTACGCAGTATCAGGAACTCTGCTAGTTTGAAGCAGTCACGTGCGGATTGGTTCCGAGACTGACTCTTACCCGCTGCCGACAATTGACCATGGTGTCTGTTACCCTCAACGCACCTGCATTCTGGAACCGTGTTGGAAAAATTTTGGATGCATGGGTGGTAAGTTGGGAGGTGTTAAAGTTGACTTATGCTAGTACTCAAATGGCATGGGGGTTTCTTGACGCGCTCGACTGGTGTTACTGCTTAGGAGGGGCCAAATCAGCCTGATTGGGCACCGCTTGGCGAGCTTGACGCGCTCCTCGTTCTTTCCGGGGAGTCTCCGACTGAAGACGAGCCAGTGAGGAAGTCTACTGCTTTCCAAGTACGCGACCACCGTCAAAATCTCTGAGTTGCTTGCCCAGAGGCCGTGTAAACAGCACAGTGACGATTCTCCCTTGATTAGTCATGGTTACTAGGAGGCTACGAGTTTCCCAACTCAATGATACTCATACAAAGGGATGCCATTACCATGATTTCGTCTCCCTCCCAGGGTGTGTTCCATTGTCGTTCTTTTGAATTTGATGTATGATATATAATTCGCCTTATAGCCCAGATCCTTCAGCAACTCTCTGTAGATGGAGCTATTCTTCCCATTAAGGTGATTGCGAGAGCACGAGCCAAAGAACCGCCAAACAATGCCATGCCAGAACTTCTGGAGAAAATGGCCTCATCTGTACATTTGTCTTCTCTTTCCCAGGAATTGATGTTAATAAGTTTTGAAAGCAGAAAAGGATCGGGCTTGCTATCAAAGAGAAGCATACTGGGAAGCTTGTGGATGAGTGGGAAAAGCTGCTGGCTGAACCGGGGCGCAAGGAACAATTTGAGTTCATCGAATGTGGCCCGATCCTTTCCTCTGCTATGGCATCAAAGGACGAGGACGAGCTTGTGCGTTGCATCGCAGCATCATCCGGCATGATTAACCCTCATTCTCGTATGTTTAGAAACTCGTCCGAACAGCCTCTCATCTTGCTTCAGCACTCTTGGCTCATTCATTCGTTCCGAAATTGGAGACAATTCTTGACAATCAGAGTAAAATTGCTCATATACGGTTGGCGGACTACATTGAGAATCGACTTGGTGCTCCTGACGGGTCCAAGGGTCCTGACATGCGTGTCTTTAACAAGAGCAAACACTTGGGACCAGATGTTGATTATAGCATGGTCGAGGTCACTTACACACCTATTATCCAGTCAAGGAACACGAAAACGGGCTATGATCTAAAGCCTAGCGCTACATCGAGTGAGGACAACATGGCTGTCAGCGGAGTAATCCTCTCCTCGATCGGTGTCAAATACAAAGCCTACTGTGCTCAGGTAGGACGGAGCTTCTTGGTTGACCCGACAAAAGTGAGGATTCGTGTTCGATTCATTGCCAACTCTCACGCATTGGATGTAGGAGCAAGACCAAAACTACACGTTCTTGCTGAGTCTACAACAAGAACTCCTGTCCAAGATGCATGATGGTGCTGTGGCTAAGGATGTGTATGCCACGGCTGTCGATTATATCAAAGCAAAGATGCCTCATCTCGAAAAGCATTTTGTGAAGACAATCGGCTTTGGAGTGGGTATAATTGGGGATGGTCCGTCTTTCTTCACAAGCTGATTCTTTCCGCCGATAGATGGGAATAGAGTTTCGTGACAGTTCATGGCTTCTTAATGCCAAGAACACCCGCACACTCCGTTCCGATATGATCTTTTCATTATCCATCGGTTTCCAAGACCTTGAGGACAAAGAGGGGAAAAAGTGATTGCCTCTTTCATCTTGGCTCTTTCATGCGTTTGATTGTTTTCGAGCTAGATACGCTATAGGTCTCACGGATACCGTCAAAGTAACTGCAAATTCATCCGTATGTCTTACTGAAGGCAGCAAAACTCCGACGGAATACATCTTCCGCTTCGAGGATGAGCCAAAGGAGAAAGCCTCTTCCTCCAAGGCTCCTAATAAGTCAGACAAGAAGGCTGTAAAGGCGGACCCCGATGCATCCCCGAAAACGAAGCCATTGAATGGGGTGACTGTAGGAAGCAAAATCCTCCGTGGCAAGACCCGACAGCAGTTGCTTGATCCAGAGGCCTCAAAATCCGTCCAGGCCAAGATTGCAGATCATCAGAGAGAGTTGCATGCCCAAAGACAACAGGAAGGCCTCGCGAGGCATGCTGGGGAGGATGGGACCAATACGGAGGATAATCGTAAAACTTGGAAGCGTTTCCAAAGCTACAAGGGAGAAGCAGGCCTACCGAAGGAGGCGGAGTCCCTCAGGGTAGGCGCAGGCATCTCACAACTCAGACGACTTTCACGTCTCATACGTGTCGTTAGATCCATGTTGACCGCAGGAACCAAACCATCGTCGTACCCATTAACGGATTCGCTGTACCCTTCCATATAAATACTTTGAAAACGTGCAGCAAAAGTGACGAAGGAGAGTACACTATTTTACGACTCAATTTCCAAATTCCCGGTTCTCATGCTGGCAAGAAGGAAGACGCGGTACGCATATTATATCTCCTTCGCTCGTGGACGATTTCATCTCCCTCCCTGACTTAGCCTTTTGAAGACCCTGATGCTACATTCATCAAGTCTCTCGTATACCGTAGCACTGATGGCAATAGGTTTGAAGCGTTGAACAAGGCCATATCTGATTTACGCAAGGAAGCCACTAAGCGAGAGAACGAGCAGAAAGAGATGGCTGATGTCGTTCAGCAAGATAATTTAGTGGAAATTCGAGGTGAGCGTACTTCCTCGTCCAGCTTCGCCTGATCTGAGTTTTGTTTCATAGGACGGAAACCGCTCAGGCTTCCAGACGTGTTTGCCCGCCCGGCTCTAGATGGCAAACGCCTTGCAGGAGAGTTGGAAATCCATTCCAATGGCGTCCGCTACATCTCTCCTCTTGGCGGAAAAATTGGTAAGCTAAATCCTAGAGTACTCTTTGACGGGGCCAACTCGCGTGTTTTCAGATCTTCTCTTTAGCAACATTAAACATCTCTTCTTTCAACCTTGCGATGGCGAAATGTTGGTTATCATCCACTTCCATTTGAAATCCCCCATCATGATTGGGAAGAAAAAAACAAAGGCAAGGCAGTTTCATCCTACGTATCTTCTTGTTGAAATAATGGTCAAGTGATAGGATGTACAAGTTTATCGGGAAGCATCTGATGTTCAGTTCGACGAGACTGGGAACCGTAAACGCAAGTATCGTTACGGCGACGAGGATGAGATTGAGCTCGAACAAAGCGAATTAAAGCGAAGGAAACAACTCAACAGGGAATTCAAGCATTTTGCTGAGAAGATAGCGGAGGCGGTGAGTGTCTGATTTTGTCGGTCACAATCATTGATGTTTACGAGTACGTGACCCAGAGTGATGACCAATTAGAGGTCGACATTCCATTCAGAGAGCTTGCGTTCGAAGGTGTTCCCTATCGTACAAACGTGAAGCTGCAGCCAACAACAGAGTGCATCGTCCACCTCTCCGACCCTCCATTTTTTGTTGTCACGCTTTCCGACATTGAAGTTGCCTCCCTGGAGCGTGTGCAGTTTTCGCTTAAGCAGTTTGATATGGTCCTTATTTTCCGTGATTTTAACCGTCCACCGATACAAATAAATTCCATCCCGAGTTCCCAATTGGACAATGTCCGCGAATGGCTTGAGTAAGTGGTTAGTTACATGATGCACTTGCGTCTTGGTTGACATGATCACTGTTGTCTTCAGTTCGGTGGAAGTCCCCGTGGGAGAGAATGCGGTCAATTTAAATTGGTCTCAAATCATGAAAACAATCAATGACAGTCCATACGAATTTTTCAAAGACGGTGGTTGGGCATTTTTGACAGGTGGAAATGCCTCCGATGTGGTAAGGAAATGGATGTGCGTCTCTGTGACCCGCTAACAACCTTTGACCTGTTAGGAAGAGGAGGAAGTGGGGGAGGAAGAGAGCGAGTTTGATGCAGATGCAGCAGACTTTGCTTCATCGTCGAGCGAAACTGACAGCACCGAGTATTCAGATGCATCCGATGACAGTGACGAGGACTTTGGCGCGGGGTCTGGGAGTGAGTCCGAAGGTCAAGACTGGGATGAGCTCGAACGGAGAGCAGCCAGGGCAGATCAGAAGCGAAAGGAAGAGAAGGGTGGTTTCGACTCTGACGATTCCGCGAGGCCTAAGAAGAAGCCTGCGAAGGCTAACGCGAAGTCAAGACGCTGATCACGCCCAGACTTCTTTTCACATACCAAATCCTTATGTGTACTAAATTGTTCCAATTCCTCATGTTTTGGTATATCTTATCTTGATCTCCTCACTGCATGAAGATGGACATGGGTTCATGTGCAACGCACAATAATTATTGTCGAACAGAACTCTTCATATCATCAGAATAGATCCAGTAATGCTAGGACATGGTTGGGAATGCGAACGTCGACCGTCAGTCAATATGATTGTATGAGATAAGGATGATGGAAGAATTGGAGTGAGGTTAACTAACGGATTCTGATCGGGAAGACGAGATGTGGCAGCAGGAAAGATGTCTCTGTTTGTGTCGTCAACTGTAATATTTTTGGGCTAACAGAGGTGGACCTGTGGACACATGCTCATCGTTTTGTGCTTCTCCGATTCGGAAGCGCTTTTACTTGTCGGCGAGGGGTCGTAGGCGTTCCCGGCGGTTTGTTGGGATCACTGGCCTCACTACCGAATACAAATGTCATTGGAGGAGAGCTTACAGGTCCCTGCGTCGGAGATAATGTGGGACTGGCCGTGGGAGTTGCTTGGAAGGTAAAGCCAAATGCTTGCGGCTGAGTTTGTGATGTACCGAACCCGGCACTGCTTCCAGCCCCTGCTCCAATTGAGAAGGGAGGTGCGGAAGCAGTCGACGCACCAAAAGCGGGGGATATGGGCTGTGATTGAGGAAATGGTGAAGTGGAGGCGGGTGCAGGCTGCGCGAACGGATTGGCAAGCGCGAATGGGGATGAAGGTGTTCCAGGCCGGCTGTTGTCTACTGCAGCAGCGAAAGGGTTGGAGGAGTTTTGGGCAGGAGCTGCCGGGGGGGCAAAAGGATTCAATACGGCACTCGTCGTATTGCCCAAGGAAAAGGCTGAAGCCCCAGTAGTTGTCGAAGATGATATACCGAATGTTGATTGGGGAGCTCCGAATGAGAATTGCGAAGGAGACGAGTCAGGTGGAGGAAGCGAAGTGGTGAATACGCTCTTAGAAGGCGATCTCTCTGGGCTCATATCCATACCTGCATCCCCATTTGATTCTTGAGGGGGGGTTCTCGGTCCAGCGGTGTCACCAAACGTGAAAGATGACGCTCCACTCGTACTTGAACCAGATATTGGGCCAAACGGATGTGGCGTCCCTGGCTTGCTAACACCAAATGAAAATGCTGGAGCAATGGGTGCGGAGGCAACACTAAATGCAAATGGGGATGGAGCCGACGATGTAGACGCGGTGTGAAGAGTGTTATCCCCCGACAGGGTTGCCGTGATTCCAGCCGTTGGAGTGGATGTTGGAGCCGATATTTTGGAGCCAAATGTAGAAGTAGTTTGCTGCGAGTTACCAGCCAACCTGAATGAGAAAGAACTTGCAGCAGGCTTAATCGATGGTGCAAGCAAAGAACCAAGTTTATTCTCTGTCATTACTGAGGTCTGCGCAGGCGTACTTTCCATGGAGATAGCAGGTGCAGTTTTTACCATCGATGGAGGTGATGACTGCGTGGACGGTGTGCTTGACGTCTCCGGGTTACTTAATGAGAATCTTCCAACCGAAGCAAACGAAGAAGTTGCAAAGGCAGAGGATGGGGCTTTCTCCCTATCTTCCATTTTCTGGGGGGATGAAGGCGCGTTGGCTTCGCTAGGAGGTTGATTGAATCCTAAGGTTCCATTTGCTTTGGTCCTGACGCTTGGAGTCGCACCAGTCGAGCCCGATGAGAACGAAGTGGGTGCCACAGGTTCCCTGGGAGACTCTTCCTTTCCCCCCTCAGCCAATTGCTCCACTGGCGTTGAGGTCGATGTCGAATTGGACAAGGATGCAGAGACAGACTTCTCGGCGGTTGGCACGCCACTTGCGGAAACACCTCTGAGGGGTCCAAAGGTGCTGAAAGAATTTGCCTTTGGATGGTCTGGGGCGGTCTGGGTAAGAGGAGGTGGTCTTGGTGATAAGAAAATCGTGGGCATCGATTCCGACGCAGATGCAAGAGAGGTCTTATTCGGTGTCTTATCATTCTCCGGCGTGGATGTGATCTCAGATTCGCCCAGATGCGATCTCATCATTGATTGAGACTTCGATTCTCCTTGTTTCGCATCCGTTGTTTCGAGGGTGGCTTCGGGACTGACTGGTGGCGATGACGTTGGGGGCACTAGTGAAAACGGTAACTTTGAGATCGGAAAACTGGGGATTGATCGGGGAACAGGGGGTACAAGGGAGGCTGACTCTATGTGCGGGGGAGCGGGTGTCGTGCCCAATGATCCACCATCCGGACGGGAAGAAATTGGCATGCCCGAGGCCGAAGAGCTGGCTGCCTTCGATGCTGCGCTGGACAAAGTGCCATGTGGCACTGCTGAGGAAGTCGAAACAAGGGCAGGAACAGCGGGACGGAACGTTGACTGTGTGGCCTTGTCAAATGCAGCCGGGTTCGCCTCCTTTCGATATGAATGAATCATTATTATGATATATGTATGTCGTTGAAAATAACCCACCAGATCCGTCTCACGCTTTGCATCTTCAGCGGGTGGGGGAGCCTGGAGTGCATTTGCAGTCGAAGCAGCTCCATCCGTGAGAGTCCACCCGACGGGTACTTCCATAGCGATGCCTTTGCTTTTGGCCCATTCCTTCAGAGCCACCGCTTCACTCTCTCCGCCATCGTCATCACCTTCACATTCTGTATCTATGCCAAATCTATTGGGACGACGTCGCACGGATGGTTCGTGAGATGCTCGGGAACGAATGCGTGGCGCACGCAGTGAAGATATAGATCGCACAGTGCTTCCAGACTTGGGAGGTACCGCAGATGCTACTAGGGGAACGAAATCGCTGGTGAAGGATTGAATAGATGACGGAGTTGGTTTTTCGAACACTGTTTTGGATGGGGGTGGCGGGCGTGCCTCGTCTACCTCTTGCAAGACAACAGGTTGCGTCTTCTCGTCCCCTTTCTTCCATGAATCCCGGCCCTTAGCGTTTGTTGGGTTTTTCGGCAAGCTGTCTGCACCTGCACCAACGTTCAGCACGGCAGAAAGATTAATCGCCTCATTACTCTTTGGCATGTGCAATAAATCCGCGAGGGTTTCTTATCCTCCTTGTCCGCAGCATCCACCTTGCTACTATCCCTCCCGTAAGAGCGAATCATTCGACTCGCTCTCCTGGAAATCTTGGGACCGGATGATGAGGGAATACGAACGGCAGCCCGCTGATCCCTTCGAAGCTTACGAGCACTGGACCACGGGAGAGCCTCTTCTAGAGCCTGAAATATCTTATCAGTGGCGTCCCGCTCAGGCGAAGGATCAGCCCGAGCCCCCGAAACCCGTGGGACAGAAGTAAGCTGCGAGAGGGTCCCTGTATGCATGGGCTGCAATTCCATCCCACAAGTGATTGTGGAGTAAAAGTGTCAGGGTGTGTTTATCGTAAATATCGGAACGAGTCATAAGATGAGATGTGGAGATTAAATGATAGTCAACGCAGAGCTATTTGAATCGCCACGAGTGATGGTGAACGCGTACTGACCATTGGGAAATTCGTCACACCATTAATACCACCGAAGACTGCATGCCCAGAACCTTCAACCGGATTCACGAAGCTTCTATTCTTAGAAATTCCTCTGGGGCCCTCTTTCTCAGATGCGGGTATGGCAAAACCCCCAAGTCCATCTACTGTGCGCCTAGTCGGACTCCCGAGAGGAGTCGATCGATAAGGAGACGTAGTGCGCATTCGCTGATCATCGGCAGCCAAAGAGGATCTTGGTTTAGGGAATGATGCGTCTTGATTCGAGTGGACTGAATCTGCCCTGACATATGGGCGTGCAGGCGAAGTCCTGGAGGATTGTGTGCCAGGGTTTGGTGACGGAGGGATCGGGATGAGAGGCATTGAAAAATGAGAGGGATACAAAGTGGAAGAGAGGAAGGGGGCTGATATGGATGACCGTAGTGTCTGCATCCCCCCGTTCATAATATGAGGCGTCAATGTAGGGCTCGTGCGACGTGGTTTCTTGGGTGACCGCATAAACTCATCATCAAGCGAACCGTTATCTTGGCTAGGTGATGTCCTACGCTTCGATTTGATATCTAGCTTCATTCTTGAGACATTTGGCCCCCCTTTCCCCTGAGAGGAGGTATTCATACTTAGAGCATTGCGCACACTTGTGTCGCCATGATCAGAGCCGAGGTTTGTACGTGACGTCGACTTGACTCCATTCATAGTTGACTTTGCAGCCCCAGTGAGCCATGAAAGGGGTTTTGTAACGATAGCGCGAATGGAGTCTACAAAACTGGTCGAACGACGCAGCTCATGACCATTGTTGGCCTGGAGTTTGCTCCCGCCCCCGACCGCCTTTCTATTTGCCCAACCAAGCCCACGAGTTGATGTGTTGGGTCTCTCATATGGCTTTGGCTTGAGCTTTTCCGCCCGTTTGACTTTGTGAGATGTTCTGTGAGGGCCAACCCGACTGAAGCCAGGTCGCGGTTGATCTTCCATTCTCAAATGGATGTTTCAGGAATGGAGCTCGGGGAAGGCTAACAAGTGTGAGCCCGGTGGCTTAGGACAGATTACTAGCTAGTATGTCGAGACGGCCAAGCTCAGAGTCCAGTCAACAGCCCCGACGTGGCTGCGACGGTTTCTTCGTGAGGGCAGACCCGGAAGCAATTTTTGCGGCCACCCAGACACAAATAAACCACAACAGTGGTGTGATGCGACATCGAATTTCTTCACTTTGACATTCAGTGCACTGCGAAGTTTGATATTGTGGGAATATTGGTCAAGGTCCACAATGTTCTTGCGACGCGCCTCCTTCACCAAACCACGAGGCTCTGTGGTGCGAATTCGGCGCATCTCGATGAAACCGTATTATGTTAGCACGCCCATTTTTTACGTAAATGCTGGTTTGTGCCCTTGATTTCCGAAAGATGCACTCGAGACTTATGGCTACGACAGCCCCTCACATTGGCCATCTTTACACGAGTGTAATCGCGGATGTTCTGGTGCGCTATTCCCGTCTCAGGCATCCTGACAGGCCGGTCTTTCTCAACACGGGTACGGATGAACATGGCTTGAAAATACAACAAGCGGCGGAAGCGGCTGGAGAGAACCCGATGCAGTTTTGTGACAGAATTAGCGAGCGCTTCAAAGTTCGTGCATGGCTCCAATGAGTGGCTCTGAAGTAATAACACGTACATCCCAAGTCAGGAACTTGGAAGAGCCGCCAGTATCGGCTCTTCCCGTTTTACACGCACCACTAACATTGATCACAAGATGTCGGCACAATACTTTTGGGTGAAGGAACTGATCTCGTCACCTCTGGCCGTCAGACTAAAGCCTCCAACAGGACCTGTTAGAGAGAAGCGGTGCTGTATACAAGGGACAACATAGCGGGTGGTACTCGATCTCAGACGAGTGCTTCTATACCGATGCGCAAGTCGAAACCATCACTGGTCAAACAAATGTCAAGGTTCGTTTCATCGTACTTGCGCCGTCAATCGCTAACATTTCCCAGGTTGCCACTGAAACGGGCTCCATCGTAGAGTGGACAACAGAAGAAAACTACAAGTTCCGTTTAAGTTTATATCGTGAGCCGCTGTTGGAATGGCTGAATGGAAACAAACTGTGTGGGTGTCTTCTGAGCCCTGCGTTATTTGCGTTTACATCGTCGAACAGCCGTTTATCCCCCGACACGTCGGGATGAGCTGATTCTCCAATTATCAAATCCTGAAAATTTCAAGGATATTTCCATATCGCGCCCCAGGAGCCGGCTCCAATGGGGAATACCAGTTCCAAGAGATAAACAACAAGTCATTTATGTATGGCTAGAAGCGCTAGTCAATTACCTGACTGCTGTCGGCCATCCATGGACTGATGGTAGAAACGACGGGAAGGGATGGCCGACGGACGTCCATGTCATTGGAAAGGATATCCTCAGGTGCACGAACCGCTTCTCATGGTGTGTCACACGACCGACATCAGTCGTATAGATTCCATGCAGTCCTCTTGCCTGCTTTCTTGCTGGCTATTGGATACGAGCTGCCTTCCACAATCCTCGCGCATGCACACTGGACTGTGAACCGTCAAAAAATGTCTAAGAGCCGTGGGAATGTCACTAACCCTTTCAGCGTCCTCCAACTATATGGGGTGGATCCAATTCGGTATTACATGATGAGCGTCGCTGGCAATTTTCATGATGACTCCAGTATGTTTACAGCACGCTAATTTCGTCGTTTCATTAATCGTATTGGCTAGATTGGTCTGAGGAACAAATCGTAAATCACTACAATCGCGATCTCCGTGGCGTTCTGGGGAATCTGGTTTCACGGATTACTTCTCCTGGATTGACCTCACTTTTAAATTCACTTGCAAGCGAAGAGGGACACTCGGTCACATCGTACGCTCTCCTTGATAAGAATCTTCCTGAGGATGCAATCATCAAACGCATGTTGGAAGAAGCACCTTCAAAGTTCGAGCAACATTTCAGTCAGTTTGAGATTGGGAAAGCCCTCGAAATCCCGATGGGTTTAGTCAATGAAGTAAGGTGTCCCTATAGGTGTTCTCCATCCATAACCCATCACACGCTAAATATAGGCAAACCGACACTTCATTCACCTGAGGTGGTGGGAACATAAGGACTCACCGGATATCATTCGAAGGTCTCATTTCTACACTCACGAAGCCCTCCGTATCGCCTCGATACTCCTTCAGCCATTCATGCCCACCAAATCACAGGAAGTTCTTGCCGCTCTGTGCGCTGGATGTAATCAGTGGCGGAGTACTGTTCTTGGAGCCTCGGGCGTTCCAGCGAAGTCAAAGCATACGGCGCCATACAGCACATTGTTTCCACCCATAAAACTCAACTGAGCGGTGCGATGTTTTCTCTAGCGAAGGTTTTGCAGGGCGAACAGGATCAGGAGGGGGGGCACTCCCATCGAACTGTGCTGTATTTATGATTCCCCTACAAATATGTCCTATTGCCTTACGGCATTGGGTCGCCGGATTAGAAGCTTGATACATATGCTCCCTTCAGTTCGACGCTTGAGGTAGTTGCATGTTGAAGGAACAACGAGAAGATCCCTGGACAAATTGTTAAATTGGGTGTTTGCGTATTAAACCCCTTCCAATGCACGTAGAGCTCCAATCGAACCGCAATGCTCTTATTAAATTGGTGGGATAAGTAGCGTGACATTCATGGACGGAAAAACAGTCGATAAAAGCACCCAAAATTTTCTGATAAACGCTCATGCTATACCAAAAAGGTTCTTGACGGCAGTCCTGGCGATGGGAAAAGCGACAAAATGAGAATTCAAATACCCACCCTATATCGAGGCACCTACCGGGCATATGGTATGTACGACAGGGAGTACCAGGTGTACGCTGCCACATTGAGTGAGATTCGTACAAAAGAGTCCAATTCGAAAACATACCGAGATATTCGACTACGACGAAGACTAATGAGGGTGTTTGTACAGTGTCAGATCGAATAGGAGGGGATGAAAAACGACCCACTTATACATAAGGCCTATAAACACATAGAACATTGGTACCCCAAGTTAGAGTCCGACAAGAAAATGGGCACAGACTCACATCATTGCCAAGCACAAACGCGCCAACAAAGACCAGTGCAATAGACCCCAAGAATACAATAGTAGCAACTACCCGCACAGGTGCGAACATCTTTATGTGATATTTTAAAGCCTAGCTCCCCAGGTCCCATTCATGTAATTATGGAGTAACGCACCATTTTGAGCTGCTTTTTGAACTAATAGTAATATGACGATTGAGACAACGTCAGACACTTATCGAGGAAGTTGAGAGATAGGGTTCACCCCAATTAAGAAGCCTGTCCCTGCGAGACTAATGATTATCCCCAGAGTGAATAATACTGATCAAGAATCGTAGAAGGTTAAGCAGGAGTAACATGCAGGTGACTGGATGGGGCCCACCAGTGAATGACCAGAGAGCACCAACGAAGAGAAGGACAGAGCCTATTATTGAGACCGCAAATCCTAGAACAGTGCTGAAGGGAGCAACAGTAACTGAGTAGTGTTCAAATGACTTTTTTGCTTGGGATTGTCACGCTCACCATCCTACGAAGCCGTAAAGTCGTTGTGTCCTCGTCAAACCTAAGAAGGAGAAGGCCGGCTTCTCATTGTCAAACAACTGGGCGTCGGAGGTAGCTTCGATATTGATCCAACCAGATGGCATGTTAGGGAATCTCAACTATAGGAGACCGCTCAGGATGTTTGATAAAAATGGACGATGAGACTTGTTGCAGGAGTACGGAAGGTGCCGTGAAGAACTAAAGAATCAAAGTGTTCTCGATGATCAAACATTCTGTGTATCAAGAAACTAATTCTTGCGAACACCTGAGCCCAAGCTCGGAAAGCAGTGTAACCGGTCACTGCGCGGAAATCACTGCCAGCGAGCTGAAGTACTTTTCATGACCCTTGATTCCTTCGCTCCACATCATCACCCAAATTCCCGCACCGTGTTGCCAAGAAGACCGCATCGAAGTTGCCACTGCGCCGTGTGTTGCCTTTACAACTTGCCTCAATGAAGATCTCTTTGCAATTAACTGGTGCTGTGTTGATGTATTTGAGCTCTTTAAACACTACGGAAGTTTTACCTTGTACCTGCGTTGGTATTCGATATCGGCGCTTCCTATATTGCTTTAATCTAGCCATCTTACTTTCGAGGGGCTTACAGGACGCAAATCCTTTTATTTAACTCGTTCCGATATCCTCTCTGGCTTGCTCCATTGCCCCAAAGAAAAGGTCTAACCCAGTGCCCATCTTTCAGAACTCGAACCCCTTCATTCAGGCACTTTTCTGTGGTACGGTCGCCCGAGCCTTGACTTCGACAAGTCGCAAACCGTGGAACCGATGGGCCGGGACAGAAAGAAAAGTGTATGATGTAAAAGAATTGAGGTGCAACCTCGCTGCACGTCACATTTGCTGGCTTATAAACTGTAGTACAAATCCCTGATGAGATTTTACTGGGTGGTTGCACGGAGAGGGCTACGCAAACCTGGCTGCCCTGGTCGCCGGAGACAATCTCCGATTTGACGGGGTGGACACCTGTAGGTTCACCCTCAGCCTTTGTCCTAACTCCTATTCTTCCGCATTACTTCCTCTGACATCTGCGAAAACGTTCCGGGTTTCTCTCAATCACTGTTAATTCCAGACACCGATGAATGCTTTGCATCCTTGGTGATTGCCAAGCTCATTGTTGGAACCTATGTAAGCACTTTCTACATGTTTCGGGGCCTTCATGTCAACTTGCACGGCTTTCTTTTTGATTTTGCGGTTACAATTGAAACCGTGATAACCCACACCCACTAAAATAGGTATGGGTTATCATGGTTTCAACTGTATTACGTACATACTGTGTCAGTGGGAGAGGATTTTGGAAAGATGGGCTGTAATGCAAGAGGGGAAAGCTTAGCGGTATGAGTGGTGGGAGAATATCAAGCGAAGCAAGAAAGAGAGCATGGTGGTCAGAATCACCATTGCATGGGAAGACAAGGAACTGCACTATAGTAGCTTGGAGAAAAAAGGTGTGGGCATGGGGGTGGAACATCAAGTGTTGATGATTGTGTTGCACCTGGTGACATAGTGTAAAGCATGGCAGCAGATCAATGAAAATATCATGAAACAAGTCACTCATCAATTTACTGTTGTTCTAAGAGGGCTAGGAGGCTGTTGGGGAAGGTGCTGGCTGGAGGATTGCGAAATGAGCACTGCTTGCATGAACGTCTGATGGCAACATTCTATCATTGCATGATGTAAGTGTGTGCACATTGTTGTAGTGGGTAATTGACAACTAGGTGTTCTTGAATGACCTCAGGCTGATGTAAGCTATGGGAAGGAGCAGGGCCTTCACACAGAATGCATTCTGATAGTGCATCAGACCAATAGCTACTTGGGATATTCAATATATTTACTGGTGCGGTATTATATGCAACCTTGGTCACATTCCAGACCGGTGTCATGACCGACAAATCCTGGGGCTCCATCAGTGGCGAACCAATGCCGATAGGCGAATCCGCCGACCCGAAACCCATCCTAACCAGCCCCCAACCCCATGTCTGGCCCCCTGCCTTACTGCGTGAGACTTGGCCAATAATCAGAACCTAGACCCTGCCGGTATTCCGACCTTACCTCCAGTTCCTGAGCCCTTGGTGCTCCCGGCATTCAGTCATGCCTGCCTTGTCTCCATCTGAACCACACTCATCGCTTCCCGCTATGTGGTCACAGCCATGCCCCGCTTCCGTGCATTCCGCACCCTCTGCCCACTCCGCACCCTCTGCCCATCTCTGCACCCTCTGGCCACTTCTGGTTGCCCTTGACACCTCTGGTCAGGTCAACACCCCCACTCCCCTCTGTACCTCTGTTGGCCTTCATGCTGTCCTTGTGTGACAGTGCTGGCAGATCAACCTCTGTTCGCGGACTTGTGTCGGCACCGCACCGACCCCGCTTATTTGCGGACTTGTATCGGCACCGCGCACTGACCTCCTCTTTTCCTCTGGCCATTTGTCACTTGGCAGCTTATCATTCATTCCTTGCCGAGTGCCATTTATTGTTTGCTTCCCTGCCAATATCGGCATTTGATCCCCTCTTTATTGGCACTAGGTTATTGATCTCATTCAGTTATTCATCAATAACCCTTGTGTTACGGATATGGAGTCTCCAACGACCATATCCGTCGCATGGTCAAAGACTTCCCCTCTCTATCGCTCCTCCCCTCTTTCTCCCTTCCGTCCTCTATCCTGATACCCTATCCTCCTTACCCGTTCTACCCCTTTCCCCCCCTCGTGCAAAGCTTTCCCCATTGGGGTTTTGGTGCTGGCCGAGGTTGTTTGTGTTTCGCGGGATTTCCCACGACCTTACCATTTGTAGATAGTCACGCGTCTTGTATGGAAACCGCCAAAGGCGGTTCCCGCTAACTAACAACTGCTCTACAACTGTCTCGTGTATCGTCTTCTATAACAACCCTCCCTGTGACTCAACTGAACCCGTGTGACTGTACAACTCTCAAGATGTCTTATAAGTCTGGTTATATCGAGTCCTCTAACGGCCCTCGCCGTGAGAACTCGAAGTCGAGAGTCGAAGACTCTCGACATGTGTATCGTCCTATTGAATCTGTACCCTATGGGTCCTCGTCACTCCGCTCTCCCCCCAGTACTCGACATACGACGTCACATCACGATCATGGAGATCGTGAATACTTTGAGGCCCACTTTCCCGTGATGCCGGCACGTTCGCTACGCGAACGCCAAGTCGCCGCCCATCCACTGTCTGTTCCTCCTTCGTCAGTCATCATGTTTCCCCACCAACGGTACATTCCCTTTGGGAATGCCAAGTCACCGAAGGCCCTACTAGTCAGTCCTCATTGCACGCTCATGACATCAACCCGCTACCGGTACGTTCGCACTGCGAACGCCAAGTACCCGATGGCAACTATACGAAGTTCTCACCCATCTCACAAGTCGCGACCTCGCACACGGTACGCTCCATTGAGGAGCGCCAAGTACCCGTGGCTGACCCGTCTGTCCTGGCATCTCCGACTACCTACCATCAATCCCTTAATAGCTCACTACATCACCAATCGTGATCGATGGGAATTCGATCGTCCACTCCCAGGCAAGACTGGGATCACTCATCGATTACATATCCCGTTATGGTACAGACCAGTTATGACGTTCGTCATCCCACTATAAGAACGGATCGAGGAATGGGAAATTTCCCCCATCCCGTAACATTGGTGCCCCAACCCCGGTGCGAGAAACTCGCACCATGCCACCAAAGACGGTGTCCCTGTTGGGAGACGAACCAGTCACCCCGGCCCAAGTGACACACGAATTGTATCCTCCTTCCCACCCCACGAGGATTAGTCAGTCAGATCGTAGATCCAATTCAAGAGATACCTCGCCAGTAGGCGAAGACGTGCATTCCTCGCCCGGCACATTCCTACGACAACAAGCTCTCAGGCAAGTCATCGAAGCTCTTGGAGAGTTTGAAGGTGGAATTTTTGAGGATTCAAATAACTACATGAAACGTATACGAAATTGGCGTCGTCTTGCTCCCGCTGATCTCGAGAAAGAGTCTGTTGGAGCCGGTCTCGAAGGAGAGCCTTTGAGATATCGACTAGGGACCGTCTGGTGGGTCGAGCTAACCGACCTGCTCATGAAAATTACCGAGTTCACCCAGCTAGCCACCAAGGCCAACTTAGCCGCAGGTGATTTCGTAGTGGATCCCTGAGGCGACCTAGCCCTGATATTCACCATAAGAGGATGGTCGTCGCCTAAGGAGTTCAGCATTGCATGGAACTTCCTAGACCAGCGTTTCAATTCCTTCGAAAAACATTTCGATGCCATCAAGAAAGCTGCTCGTCCTTCACGGGAATTTGACGAGTCACGCATGAGTGGACTCAGGTTGGCGAATGTCTCGCCCGCCAAGTTTACGGATCCTGGGCAAGTCGAGGAGGCGTGGTCGACCGAAATGCGACCCACTCGTCAACCTGAAGCCCTCCCGTCGGGATGGACTACATTTGAGGATCTCATATCTCCCGCGGAAGAGACCACTTTCGTTCGTAAACGCACCCTACCGTCCAGGGCCTTCCCAGTGCCTAGACCAAGCATTAATGTCGCTGCAGGGATGCTACTCAGAGACGAACCCTCGATGCCATTCGTCACAGTTCGTCGAGAGACCAACGCTTTCGAGAACCCCAAGGAGAACGTGGGTTACACGGAATTTGTGAAAGGCCTGAAGGTCGGAAGGAAGACAGAGCTGGGACCTATCGAGGAGAGACTCGATCCCGACAACCGTGGACCCGAACCCCCTCGTGTCCCTCACCATCCGGCGAATGAAGGACCCATTGGATCCAGAGATCCAGGTCATGATCCGAGACAACCGCCTCCCGACCCCTGGCAGCCGCCACCACGAGGTGCGGGTCCACCACCCCCATCAGGACCACCACCTCCACCTGGACCACCTCCTCCGCCCGGTGGGGCTCCATACCCGGGGCACATTCTACCCGTCAGATACGCTGGGGCACCGCCCCCTCCCCCGCCTCCCGGACCTGGAGCGTTGGCAGCGCCTCAGCAGAATCCTGGATACAGACCTCCTCCTCTCGACCGCACGCAACCTTACGTGGATCGCAAATATACTGCGTCAGACTTCCTGGAGTTCGATGGTTCGATCGACAGCTATATAACGTGGTGCAGCATATGTCGGAACCTGGCCAGGCACTCGCCTGCTTTCGCCCAACAAATGACCTGCATACTTCCTGATCGTTTCAAGGGTGCGATGGCAGACTGGTGGTCGACTGTACCGGTCGCCGACAAGTTGTATTTTACCACCAATTGGGAAGATCTACACGGATATGTGCTACATTTCTTCTTAACACCCGCCTTCCTCGACAAGATTCGAGATCGATTCC